ATTAATTACGTATACTTCATATCTCCTTTCAAATCATTCATAGAAATTAAGCACTGCCAGTGGCGGATCCAGAATTTTTTAAGGAGGGGGGCGGGGGGGGCGCTGACTGACCTAAAAAGGGGGCTCCAGTCATGCATCAGTGATTCCCTATATAATGAATAAGGTGATATATGGAGTAAATTTGTACAAAAACAACACAAAGTTAGAAAACAAATAACACAAAAATAGAAAAATAGTTATTGGTATTATTCCCCCATGCCGGGGAGAACTGGCATGATTTCATGTTTCTACCGGGGAAATTTTGGATCAGTGCCTTTCTTCCCTCACAGAAAGTTGGCAATACGTATAAATATAGCCACATTTCCCCCAATATTTTCCATATGTCCCCCATAATATATAACCATTGAAATTGTACTGCCATTTATTGTATTTATTTTCAGTATTTTCTTTAAAAATGATTGATCTCTGGAATGCTAAAATAATCTGTTTCCCGGCTTGAGTTGATTAGATCGAGTGTTCTGTATCCCCTTGTGGTTTTGTTTTACAATCTGCTCTAGTGAATGTTCATTTATGATATTAAGAAGTTGTGCATGAAGCTTAATGTCTCGTTTGCTAGGAATTGTGTATGGCATATCCCAGTTTATGTGGCCAAGATTAAAGTCGCCACCTAGAAAGATAGTAGATTTTGCATTTTGGTTTATGCGATCTAGTGAGATTATAAGTTTGACCAATGGAATTGTCATTATACTCTGTCTAAAAATCCGACATATATATTCGTATGGTTAACATGAAAATCGTACTTAAAGTTCATGGCGTCATTCGGTTATGTTACGCTGATTTGAAATTCCATTCTCTTGCGGGTGGAATGTGAAATGGAACGGATATTGGGCCATGGTACGGAGACAGCACAAAGTTACCCAATGCAACACGCAAACAAGACATCAATTGATTTCAGTACATCCAATGCGATGGGACCCCTCTTACAATAATCAGTCATACCCAGGCGGTCTTAAAAAATATATAAAGAAAGCATACCCAAGGGCTCATCATATGTTTCATTTATTCCAACAACAAATGTTACCATCCGACAAAATTCCTTCTTCATGTGGGCTTCAACAGGAACATGGGTTGACCATTGGGCCTTACGACCTACCACAGAAAGTCACGTAACACATACCAAGGGTTCTCTGAGGAGAATGGGTGTGACCACCACATCATACTATGTACTTCATATACATGTATACGTAAACAAATCATTTGATATTGAATGTATAATACCGACCGTGGAGACCCTCATGGGTAGTCAATGTTGTTAAACGCCCACTAGTAGTAGAATGTATAATGATACGATGATGGTGTGGTAACGCTAAAATAATTAAAAGGTATTGCAAGCCGTTTTCGTCAAAACTATGTTTAAACCCTTTTTTCGAAAAAAATAAACACTGAGAATTAAAAAAACCACACTGAGATTTAAAAACCTAAAATAACACACTGACAAATCGAAAATTACACACGGAGATTTCAGAATCACACACTGAGATTTAAAAAAATGAAAAACACACTGAGAATTTAAAATTACACACTGAGATTTTAAAAAGACACACTGGGATGAAATAAATTGAAAAATACACACTGAGAATTGTTAATTATTTACTGAGATTTCAAAAATACACACTGAGATTAATATGTACATTACTAATGAATATTCTTGAGATGAATAATTCAACAGACTAATATCTTGGTCTCCCAAACTTTCGTCATTGTAATAAAATGCGGTTCCTTCAACCAACATTCGTAATAAATTTCAAGACTTAACATCGTTGTTTGCTAACTCATATTCATAAGTTTGTTGCCTATAATTCAGATTATTACTAACAGTGTATCGGGATTTTTTGCTTAAAACTGTTTAAGCATGGGTTCCCTTTTCAAAAGTCTTTCAACTGTTACCCGGATTTCGCAAGGTAATCTTTTATATTTTAGTTACGTTTATATGCTATAATAGGCACTTGGGTAAAAATTTCACTGCATTGTTTGTCTTTTTGTAGATTGTTCCAATGTTTTCTTATAATTCTAATAAAGTTTTTCACCATTTGGTTGTATTTTGTAATGAGAGAAAGTGGGTAATTTTCTTGTTCTATTGATCTTTAATAACGTATTTTTTCTATTCGTTGTATTTCTACTGTTTTTTATAAAACATTTGTCGCCAAATTGAAGGACTAACGAGTTCTGTCCCCTAGTTGTTTTAAGCTTGTAATAGATTCAGATTAAGTATGCTAATTAGATATGTGCGCATAAAAAGTGCGCACGAATCTCAGTGTGTAATTTCAAATTCTCAGTGTGTGTTTTTCAGGTTATTTCATCTCAGTGTGTCTTTTTGAAATCTCAGCGTGTAATTTGCATTCTCAGTGTGTCTTTTGAAATCTCAGTGTGTAATTTGCAATTCACAGTGTGTAATTTTCAATTATCAGTGTGTTTTTTTTTTCATTTGATTTGTAATCTCAGTGCGTCTTATGAAATCTCAGTGTGTGTTTTAAGGTTTTTTAATCTCAGTGTGTTTTTTTTTATTAATTCTCAGTGTGTAAATTTGGAAAATGGTTTAAACAGTTTTGACGGCTTGTCATAAAAAGAATAGTTACTATCCTTTAATGAATAATTAATATCTCAACTGACGTCGCGGACGTTACTACAAGAGGAGAAAATAAGCTTCTCGTGCAACTAGAGGGGCAAATAGGCCTGATCCTGGTTTCCCCCCATCACGCTGAGGGAAAAACTGGGATCATGCCATTTTTTTCTGGGGGGAAAACTGAATTGATCCAGTCTACCCGGAAAATTTGGCATTGAGGAAAAATGGCTATAGGAAATCGGTATCCATTAACGAAGGGAAAATCAGCATACTTTTGAAACATACTCAAACTCTGCTCATATATGTTATACCCACAACACAAACCCTATACACCTCAAATTAAATTATTGCGAACCTGTACACATGTATGGCCTGTGTTTTGTATGTTGGACCTGTGTTTTGTAGTTTATAGGTTTGTAGATTTTACTCAAGATATACAGCCCATTTAAAAATATTGAGATGTTGTATGTTTGCCAATGAGACAACTTTCTATATCCTTTTGTAGTCTACAACAATGAACAAAAAATATGGTATACAACAACCAACGAACTGCTGGATTACAGGTTCCTGGCTTGGATAGGTCACATAAAGACTTGGAGTTGTTAACATGTGTGTGAGCACTAGATCATCCCTTAACCTGGGACAGTGGTTTAACAACACACCCTACAAACCTGGGACAGTGGTGTAAAAACACAACATACAAACAAACTGTAAAAATAATTTGGAAAAGACTAGACTCATCAGATCAGTACTTTGTATTTGTATCTATGAAATGATTTAGTAAATGTTTTTAATAATTTGCATTAATGAAACCCCCATCTTAATGAGCTGTAAAGGGACTCAATTGGTGCCTATAGGAATACCAAAAAATCCGTCGATAAACTGCATGTATTGCCGAAACGTACAAAGTGTGTATTCGGGTAGAAAATTTCAGTCTCCGTTAGTATATCTAGCATATATTTTTTTTTCATAGAAACAGGAAGGCTTTATCTGAATTTCAGCAAATCAATTTGCATTCAGATTTTTTTTAAGGATCATTTTTATAAATAAAAAAACCTTCTGTTTGATAAGACTGTGCGAACACGTAGTGTATACAGAGTCACAATTCTCATGTTTGCTTCTAGGAGATACTAACTTCCCTTTATGTACATAATATTTGATGATTTTTGTTTCTTTTAAAGGTAATATTTTTTTTTCATTTCTTTATAACAGTATGTTAAAAATGATAGCATAGACATAAATCAGATAAATACACTGACACGAAGATTTCCTCAGTTCTACTGTGTATGGTTTGGACCTTTTAGACCAGTTGTATCATTGGTACATCCCGATTCGGTAAAGGTATTGCTTAAGACCGCTGGTATGTATTCTTTGTCTTTATAACTTGCTTTTGTATTATCCTTGTATTCCTATATATGTATTCTATTTTTGTCTCGCCTGAGAAACGAATCGCGAAGTGGAGACATATCGAACCTATATATATTCCATCACCGCCGTCAACATTAACGATTGTCACAGTGGTTTACGTTTTTCCATCAACTTTATCAAAACTCAATGGAAATTTTCAAGACAAGGACAGAAGCTTTTTAAGAATAAAGAGACAGCATCCAAAGCAAAACGTTACTTAGTTTTTTCAATAACAATAACATACAATCTGAGTTTAAATAGAACTTCTTTTAGACATCAATTAGTTTGTATTGGTAAATAGCAAATTAATACATGTTATGTCTAGTATATATATGTTAATATAAAACAAAAGCAAAAACAAAAACGTGAAAATAATTGAAATTAAAAAGTAATAAAAAATAACGAATTTTGGAAGGCTAAAAAAATTTTCCTATCCCCCAGTAACCATGAATTCTCATGCTTTATTTATAACGTACTAAAACGTATATCTAAATTAAGAAAAAAAATCCAAAAGAAACAATTAACAATGCATGGGCTCGCTATAATGTATCAGCATTTCGTGTCTACTTAAGACTATACGCCATCTAATTATCCATAGAGATGACATCAGAGGACTGCCGTCATATAATAATACCCAGATATAATAAAACATTAATATAAATATAAATTGACAGACCAGCACGTACAATCAGATTTTTCTAGGTCTGTTTGAATTCATGTTAAAGGTTAAACATATGTGTAAATCTTCGTTTTATCTGTATATGAATAATTTTTTAAAGGCCGGATCAGTCAAAGAAATGTTTATTCCTGGTGTTTCCCTTGTCTCACTTTTCGATGTTGACATTCTTTTCTTTTTAATGAATGAACATGCTGACCACCACATGCTGAATGTAATGGCCTGACCATTAAGTATAACCGACGATTGGGCTTAAGCAGAAAAGACTATCAGGTGCTGATACTTTAATTATGAACCAATCTGACATATGGTAAAAAGCTGAAAATACAAAATAAAATACAATTTTACAATGTGTTCAATTAATGTTATAATGTATGAATGTCAAGTGTAGACGATAGCAAAGTCCATAGAACGCGAAATAAAGCTGCAGTTATTAAAGGTGAAGTTTCCAGTATATCACGGATAAAGTGTTCAATTATGTGAAGAACGATTTGAAAGCATCAAATACAAAGTTATAAATGTAACTCACTCTGTGGTTAGCCACGAATTGTGTCCTAGATGACGTTTGTCCTCAGAATGTTCTCCAGTACTGAGATGACCTTGCAGTATTCAGTTCGAGGTACGTGTAGGAAAGGGAAAGATAACGATGATATGATGTTTTGACATTCTATACGGTTTAACGATGAATAATCCTCCTAGACTGGAACACATAAATAGATTAAGAATATAATCTAACGAACTATATAAATTGAGGAACGGCGTAACAGAATACTCCCCGTCCGATGTCTATCTGATATCGCTATTTCATAAATTATTCGCATATGTATATAAGATAAATAAATAAATCCCAACATAAATTGAATATATACAGGTGAAATGTCCACTATTGGTCGTGTGAGAAATATCAGGTCTCAACTTACGACTTTTCACTATAAAGTTTCCTGATAAATTCATTCCATGGGAAACTGGCACAGTTTCGTGTCCTTTAGAAGAAGGATGTCTCGGATGAGATTGTTGTGTTCTGTAGAATGTTCCATTTCTGCTGTATCGATAATAGGAACTGTTTTCTCCAACGTTGTAAGACGGCGATATCCTCCGGTAAGTATGACGGGAGTTAGTACTTGGTCCTCGTCTGATTTGGCGAAATGTCACATCTTTGTGAGTCTCAGACGAAAGCGTTTCGTCCTAACGTTCCATCCTGCGGAATTACTCGCTCTATCTGTAAAGTGGCGTCCTCGATGTTTGATTTTGTCGTAGTAATGTCCAACAAAAGGTGTTACTTTGTGATGATGTCCAGATAAGACCACCGGTTCCTTTTCACTAATATTCCAGTCAGACTTGACGATACTGCTTCCTACTCGGAGTAGAAGTTGATTGTTCAAAGGCAGATTGAGATTGGCAATCGGTCCTTCTTTCGGAATAGGTTTGTGAATGCGACTGATTTCCTCTCCATGAACTTCAGGTCTTGTTGATTTCGGAATGACATTTTCTTTGTCCATAGAATTTTCTATAGAAGTCACAGATTTTGTTTTTAGTGAAACGAACGCTGTCCCTTTAGAGAAATTCGTGAGTTTACCAGGCTTGGTACTAGGTCCAGTATACTCAAGGAATTGTTTGGAATGCGATTTTACAACCTTGGTATTCGAATTAAAGTATTGGTCGTTATCCTGAACAACAATTGGATTCTTGTCCTTGAAGGCTATTTCCGGTCTTGAGGCAAGACGTTGTTCTGGTTCCGTGATTGAAACGTTAGTTATCTTCGTGTTGACTTCAAGCGGAACAGTTTGCTTGTCAATGTATGTATTTCCAATTATGACCCAACCAAGTTTCAACTTTTGGGCAAACGGAGTTCTGGATGGTCCTAGGCGTTGTTCAAGGACGTGGTGTGCCTCTATAAGGTCTCTTCCAATTAAGAGAAGAATTTGACAATGTTCCTCCGAGTTCTTTTAGATGAGGATGATGCATTGCGACTTCAAGAGTAGGAATTTCGTCTCGATTATTGGGAATATTATTACATTCAATTAATGTAGGCAGATCAAATTGTACGTCACCATGTACAGATTTTAAGACGAAATCTTTTCCTCTTTTCCCGGCAGTAGCTACTCTGCCGGAGCCTGTTGTAAGAGAGTAGTTTTCAGGTTTTTGCCGAACGTTGAACAGACTGAAGAAATCAGGCGAGGCGAAAGACCGGTTGCTTTGGTCGCCAATGATGGCGTACATCCAGATAATTTTGTCTGTCCTGTCCTTGTGGTACACATCCACAGGTACTATCTTGGCACAAGATTTCTCACTCTTAGGATCCTTGTGGATCTCTGTGCAGGTTGAACTCACAGAGGTTAACTTGATTTCAGCCGATTCTGTTGGCTCCCCGCCGTAGATTGTTCCAGGCGAATTATCTTGAGAAATGGTGAGTGGTTGCTCCCTTGTTATGTGTAGTGCGGTAGTGTGTCGTTGACTTCCACACTCGTTACAACTGATGCTCGCGTTGCAATCACGACTTATGTGTGTGGTTGACTCACAGCACTTGTAGCAAACATTGTTCTGTCTTAACAGTTCTTTTCGTTCCACAATAGATTTGGCTCGGAACGCTCGGCATTCGTTTGAAGGAAGCTTTGTATTATGCAAAATGCAAAGACTTTGTTGTTCACGGCTCTCTCCAGGTTGTTGTTCAACTGCTGTCTTATTTACGATGACTATAGAAAACGTCTGAGATGTGAACTTTGGCGCAGACCAGCACCTTTTGTATTTGGTGTGACTTTTGACCCAAAGATGAAACCAGGATCGTTCTTTATTTTGCTAATTTCCCTAATGAAGACAGATAATTCTGTGAAAGGCGCCGGAAAGGCAACTTCGTGTTTAGACTTGTATCTTGAAGACCTTGTTACCCACTTTTCTTGGAGTCCGTATGGCAGTTTTTCTACAATTGGAGCTATCCCGGACGAAGAGTCGAAATAAGCTAGCAAACATCCAAGTTTGGGGTTTTCCTTGTGATTCTCTATTTCTGAGATAATATCTGACAAATCGTAAAGGAGTGAGTTGTCCTTATTCGTCAGTGTTGGGAAGTTGACAAGTTTGTTGACGAGGGACGCCTCCAACATTTCTGGAGCACCATATCGGTCGTCAAGTCTCTCCCATAGTCTCTGTAGGCCTCTTGTTGGGTTGTTGGCATTTGATGCCCTTATACTCATGGCATGTTTGGCAGACTCTGGTCCAAGCCATTTAATAAGTAGGTCTATCTGTTCCGAGTCAGAAACTTGTAATTCGTCTATGAATTTTTTAAAGCTGGCTTTCCATGTATGGAAGGATTCTGCCCGGTCGTTAAAGCTTGTAAGCCGGGAGAACAGTAGGTCCTTACGCAAGAGAAATCTGGTTATCTCCGATGAAGGGGTGATTTGTTACAGATGTGCAACAGGGGTCTCTTCTATAACACCTTGTTTTTGGTGTGAAACAGGGATCTCTTCTATAACGCCTTGTTTTTGGTAGGCAACAGGGATCTCTTCTGAAACGCCCTGTTTTCCTATGCCTGTTATTGTTCCCAGAAAAGGGAATACATTAACTTCTGGTGATTTAGCATGTGTAGGCAAGACCGCAGGTGTTTGTGATGGCAAGTTCAGTGCCACAGATGGCACGAACGCTGGTGCTTCATGACTTAGCTCAATCTTAACAGGTCCTGGCTCTTCCTGTACGGCAGTTGGTACAGGGTGTTTATTGATGAAACCTCGCACACGTTGGAGCGGATTCTTCCGTTTCCTTAGGAAGATCGTCTAACGCTTGGCTGTCGTCATATTCTAGGATGCGAGCTTCGGCTTCTGCGGCTGCAGCTTCTCTTCGTGCTTCGAGAAGGTTTAACTTGGCTTTCAGTTCGGCTTTTTCCCGGCTTACACGTGCGGCCTCCTGTTGCATTTGAGCCTTCCTGCGTATGGTCTCTTGCTCTGCTCATGTTCCATTTCAGCCTTTGTACGCGCGGCTTCTTGTTCCATTTCAGCCTTTTTACGTGTGGCTTCCTGTTCAATTATAGCCCTTTTACGTGCGGCTTCCTGCTCCATTTCCGTTTGTCTGAACAGGGCTTGTTCCTCTAACATTGCCTCCTGTTGTAGGATAAGTGCATGTTGTTCGACAAAGGCTATTTTTGATCTAGCGGCCTCTGCTTTGGCACGCTTCCTCCGTGCTAGGCTTGACATGTCAGACACGTTAGAGCTGCCGCTATGTGAGGCTTTCTTACTCTTTTAGGTCTTTGTTTTAGTAGATTTAGCCTTTGTCAGGTCGAGACGATGTTCGTGCAATGTTTCTAGAGCTAGGTCCACTTTGGACAGACGAATATCCAATGTGAGATTACATGCGTCTATGTCTTTTTGACTGTCCAATGTTCTGGTCCTTTTCAGAAAGTCCAGGTACTCATCTGTGAGCCTACGATAATTCCTACAGGCTTTTACAAGGTTATCCTGGGCTGTTAAGAGTTGCTGGAGCTTGTTAGGAGGCGTGGTGACTTCCAATAACTGGGATTCTACATCTGACCAGAGGGCCTCTAGTTCCTGACAGAACTTGTCACGTTTTTCTGTGATAGCTCCTTTACCCTTTTTGTGAGGTCACGTACTCGCCTAGCCTAGGGATTATCATCTAAATGTGTGGTATTGGACGGATTTTCTACTAGTTCTTCAGGGACATCTCCCTCTGGGGGTTGAACCTCGTCTTGCTGTTCAGTGTGACTGGGATCCATGATGGCTCAACGTTGTTGGTTTGCTGTCAAAACACAAGCTGTGTTGCGTAGTGTCAAGGTAACAGCTACGAACGATGTTCCGTTGTATTTCCTGGTCAGGATATGTGTAGACAAGTTGTTGTCAATTTACTGTACGTCAATGGATGACGCGTTCTTGCAGGGCTCAACAGCCAGGTTGTAGCTGTAGAACTGACGTGAAGTGGCGTTATCTGTGAGACACAACAGGCAAGTTGTAGACTTTCTACTGTAATAGCCTGACCATTAAGTATAACCGACGATTGGCTTCAAGCAGAAAAGACTATCAGGTGCTGATACTTTAATTATAAACTAATCTGACATATGGTTAAAAGCTGAAAAAACAAAATAAAATACAATTTTACAATGAGTTCAATTAATGTTATAATGTATGAATGTCAAGTGTAGACGATAGCAAAGTCCATAGAACGCGAAATAAAGCTGCAGTTATAGGTGAAGTTTCCAGTATATCACGGATAAAGAGTTCAATTATGTGAAGAACGATTTGAAAGCATCAAATACAAAGTTATAAATGTAACTCACTCTGTGGTTAGCCACGATTTGTGTCCTAGATGACGTTTGTCCTCAGAATGTTCTCCAGTACTGAGATGACCTTGCAGTATTCAGTTCGAGGTACGTGTAGGAAAGGGAAAGGTAACGATGATACGATGTTTTGACATTCTATACGGTTTAACGATAAATAATCCTCCTAGACTGGAACACATAAATAGATTAAAAATATAATCTAACGAACTATATAAATTGATAAACGGCGTAACAGAATACTGAACATTTGCAGCCATCTCCACTAAAGATCAAATTAAAGGTTGCATGCATACAAATTTGTTGAATTATTGCAATAATACATCAGTGATGTTTTTTAACTTATTTTAACGAAATTGAACAAAACTTTCTGCTAATAGCAAAATTTAATTCTATATTCCACTTTTATAAATGTTTTAAACCTCCAAAAAATCCTATTATATTTGTTTGTCTAATGCGTAACTTTAACTCGCAAGTCGACTTTTGTAACTCGACATTCGACACTCGACACTCAACAATAAGAAACCCTCGACAGAAACCTTTTGATTTGTGTTTAAAGGTATATGTAGGACAGTCATTACGTGTATTCTTTGGGACATTATATTTTTTTATAGTTACAATTTAGTAAAATTTCAAAATACTCAGGTTACAATATTTTTGATGGTTATTCAATGAATTGTTTATTATATTTTTAATGTTTGTGAAGTCGCACATCTTTTACTCTATTGATGCAACTTTTGGTAAAATGATTATTCCTGTAAATATAAAGTTTTCTTTCTCAATCGATAATTATTACAAATATAGAACGGACGTTTCGAACCGAAATTGCAATATTAGTCGAGCAGGAACTCCATATGTTTCCGGAAAATCCCAGTTCATCATTGGTTTTCTTTTTTCTGGCTGTTTAATTTTCCGTAGTACGAGCGTATATTCCATTATTTTATTGTATTGTTGTCTCTTTTTGCAACGGTCTTGTCTTTGGTTTTTTTCAGGAAAATTTTATTTTTTATTTCAAGCTTTCTCATTCGTTTTTGAACTAATGTTAGAAGCTTTACATGTACAAATATTTGAGGAATTATACACGTCTTAGCGTGGGACAAATATACCGACCACATTAGATTAAGAGATGTGGTATGATTACCAATGAGCCAACTATCCAACAGATTCGAAATGAAATTCTAAACGAACAGATACACGTATATTTTAGATTTTACAATGAACAATATTTGTTAATATGATAAAATGCAATACAATATTTAAAAATCAAAGGGAGTGAAGTACGATTTTTGTTTTAGTTTTATCATTGCATTGCAACTCATTCAACTATTTATGTAAATTGTACATCTTCAGCACTCGAATAGAAAAAGATGGCAAATAAGAAAAGCGCGTAACTTTTTAGAGCAAAATGAATGAACTTGTATAACAATGAAAGTGTCACATGTTAATAAACATGAATAAAAATAGATGTGAGGTATATGTCACAAGTTCATATTGACAATACAGTAAAAACTCAATAGATTTGAAGATATTTTTAGGACTTCTTGTTCTACTAAACGGAGGTGAATTCCAACGACAGCTTATACCTTTTATTGTGTATGAATCATATATTTTTTATTGAAAATATGCAAAATCACATAAGAAAAAGAAAGAAAAGTTATAAAAAGGAGCAATGAAAAACCATAAGTCTATTAAAAACACCAAGACTGAAGAAACAAAATGAACAGACAAACAACAGTTTACAAAACCCTACACCGAAAAACTCAAGATTGAGCAACACGAACTTCACCAAAAACTGGGAATTAACACAGGAAATCTTGAAATTTATATTAAAAAAAACAAAAAATCAACAACCGGTGCGCATACTTTGTTATAGTAATTAATTTTTTCAATCATGTGCAAGAATATGTCACATTTCCACGCGAGATAACCCAATCTGTTTAAATTGGACAGTAGATAATTAACGATAACTTCTAACTCCTTCCAATAGACGTCGTTGCATTTACTAATCTTGTTAAATACAACAGAGACATGTCTCTGATAAAAATTAATTCGCGTCTTCACGGGAGTTATAAATTACGATACTTGAGTTAGTGGTCTTTCAAAGGGCTATGATATTGAGATCAAAACCGCGTCGAGATTATAAATCAATGTACGAAGGGGAAATTATTTTGAAAAAATAGGGGAAAAATCCATAATTTTTGTTAATTGATCTAGAATGACATTTTTTAACAAACACTCATAAAACGTATCTCACGAGTTTTGATGTTCATATATCTTTAAAAATACCATCTAGGAGGTTATATGACATCCTTGTTACCAAGAAATTTAATATTTTCATTAGCACTGACGACGAAATTGGTACCGAACCGTAGTCTAGATTACGCATTTTAATCACTATTAGTAATGAAATTATATGGCATAATACCAGCTGTGTTTTTATAAACATATAAACACCAGCAAACAGAAGTTTGTCCAGCTTTCTAATAATAGGCTATACTGAAAAAGTTTCCACAACCATTTAAAAATGAATTCTCTGGATAAGACATTTCTAGGAATGCATGTTCTGTTATGTATACTTACAGGTAATACTGTTAAAATTATTTATGTCTGATCGAATGAATTTCGTAAAAACAGCGACCGCATTGCAAACTGAAGCGTTAACGAATACACGTTTTCTTGTATTTTTTCACTCACATATAGAAAATATTGTAAAGTAAATGACAAAAGTGCGAATTAATTTCTTCTTACATCAATTTTTAGAGCCAAAACCTGTTGGTCATGGACCAACATACAGAACTCTGATTCCATGGCTTGGTGAAGGATTGCTAATAGCAGGAGGGTCCAAATGGGCAAGATCACGTCGACTTCTTACACCAGCTTTCCATTTTGAAATTTTGAAAGGATACCAAACAATCAACAACCAGTGCGTAGACATACTAATAGTAAGTATTTTTTTCATTCATAAAGTTGCAACAAGTATTTACCCAAAAATAATTTCTGTGAACCGAATAACTACTAAGTGTAAGAGCTCGTGTATTGCTTGTGTATACATAACACTTTTAAGGAATATTATTTCTCAAAAAGTCGAGCATAACTTAAACTAAAACTGAAATATCAACGAATAGCATTTTGTTTTTAAAAATCCAACATAACTAAAAATATTGTGCTATGTATGAATAGTAATGAGAACGCATTATCCTACATCCTGTCGATACTGATGACTTATTCTTTGGCATTGCATAAGGTCATATGTTTCTCTGACTGTCTTTACGTTAAATCCGTTGGATGTATACTGATTGGTACTTTAGTCTGGAAGAACAGGATTTATTTATTAGTTGTAATTGGCGTTGAACTAGCTCGCTCTCAGTTCTCTTATTTCGGTGCTTTGTGTCTATTTTTTTTTTATATATGATGCTTTTGTGCCTCGTACCGATTTCTGAGTTAAGTCAATTGCAACTGATTTTTACAGTTTGTTCTTATGTTGTGCTGTTACACCACTGTCCCAGAATAGGGGAGGGTTGAACGGTCGCAAACATTTTAACCCCACCATATTCTTTATGTGCTTGTCCGAAGTCAGGATCCTGTAGTTCAGTGGTTGCCATTGGTTCATGTCTGTCATGTTTGTTTTAGGTAAATTGTATTGTTATAGATTAAGACGTTAGTTTTTTTTTTTTTGAAATGTTTCACATTATTCATGTCGGTGTCTTTTATAGCCGGCTATACGGTATGGGTTTTTCTCATTCTTGAAGGCCTGAAGGCCGTGCGGTTGCCTATAATTGCTTGCATCCACTTTATTTGGAACTTTGGTAGATAGTTGTCTCAATGGCAATCATACCTCATCTCTTTATTTTTGTATGTATGGTCAAAACTTGGAAATTAAAAACAATAATTGTTTAAACAACAGATAGTGAAACAAGTTGTCAGTGCTACTTGTTTGAGTACAGTATGGCCATTTATGTTCTGATAATGGTAGTTACGAAACGAATGCTCTTCATACTTTAGTATACATGGTCTTTGATAAAATTCAGTTATTTATGAGAGTAAATATTACAACAGTCACGCATATGTTCCAGAAAATAAAAACAAAGATCCCGTTTAATAACAGTCTAGAATTAGTCAATGTAAGATGCATGTCAGTAAAGAAGTAGAGCCAATTCCCCCAGCATGTATTTATACCATGGCCATTTTGATAAAGTCCTTTAATCTTCACTTAACTTAACAGTATTACTGCTCCATTTATTATAGTGTTTTTGACCTGTCCGTTCGTCCGTCAGTCAGTCAGCCAGTCATGTTCTTGTCATCGCAACTCCTCTGAAACCACTTAACAGAATTTCATGAAACTTTGTAGATAATAAGGACATACTATGTAGATGTGTTTATCGACAGGAAATTATGATTCAAAGTCTTTACTAGGAGTTATGCCCCTTTGAATTTAGAATTTTGGCCATGACATACTACTGCAACAGTTTGCCAGCACAACTCCTCTAAAGCCACACGATAGAATTTTATGAAACTTTGTAGATAATAAGGACATATTATGTAGATGTACATGCCGATAGAAAATTATGATTCAAAGATTTTTCTATTTTTTATATATACTACTGCAATAGTTTGTCAGCACAACTCCTCTGAAACCAGACAACATAACTTCATGAAACTATGTAGTTAATGAGGACATAATATGTAGATCTGCATATCGACAGGATGTGAATGTCCTTCAAAGCAAAATTTAACTCCAAAAATAAAAAAAAAAAGTTTCAGAAATTTTAACATAAGTGTAATCAGTAGCAATATGAAACGCCGGATTACACTTGATTTAACAGAAATATGCAAAACTGTTGAAAATCTTTTAAGTTACAATAAATAAACTCTTTGATATTCGATTTCTGGAACTATGGGTTAACATGTCAACGAAAACGCAATAATCAGAGTACAAGTTGGAATGAAACATAAAACTCGTCAACAATAAAAGACCGAGATAAGTTTAGTTCCTAGAAATCTCTCTCTTCGTTAAACATGTAGTAATGAAATTATTTTCAGACAAACCTATGACGCCACAAATTTAATTCATTGCCTTTTATCGTCATCTCCAGTTTGGTTAAGTGAAGTTTCCAATTAAAAGATGCAGATATGAAATTAACTGATGCTGTTCTTAAACCATGACTGAAAATTAGTATAAATTGGACTGTAGTTTCAAATTTTACTTTTTATCAATGGTTATTCGATTTACGTTTGTTCACTGTTCGGTTTGTAACAAACAAAAAATGAGCGATAGTTTTTTGCGTGTGCGTATAGTGATTTTGTATCATGTATGATTAATATAGTACTAGTAATTTATCTTCTGACTCTCTTACAGGATATAATGGAGAAGTATGCAGATACAGGAGAAAGTTTTGATTTATTCCAATTGATTAGTAACTGTACCCTAGATATTATTCTACAGTCAGCGTTTTCATATAAAACAAATTGCCAGCTTGATAGGTGAATTAATTCAGCTGATTTTGTGTTTCAAATCTTGAGCTCTGTTTGAATAGAAAATGAAAGGATATGGAGTAAATGTACATGGGACAAAATCGCACACAATACATAGAAAACATGGAAAATTATCAATGAACAGGGCTTTTATTCCTGTTCTTCATCTTGACAGTTGATGTAGGGTCTTCAACAATGAACGAATCATTCATACCCTACAACAAGGTCAAGACGGCCCCTAGCGTCGACTTAAGCGGTACTATTGATAAAAATAAACCACATTTCACCTTCTTGCTCCCCACCCATTCATTATTACTTCAAATTGTTTATCTTTTCTAATCGATTCGATATTCCAGGCCTTGACTCTCCCTTTATCATTTTCTTCATAAAAAAACAAGGGTTTCTAAAGTAAAACTCTCTTGTGTAAACTACTGTTGTCTGTAAAACAGTTGTGCCTCTGCTTCGAAATACTCGTGTTGTTTTATTAATTTTTTTCTTATAAATAAAAGCAGTCACAACACAAAAAGACCTATAGAGGTCAATATGCTGTCTTCAATAATAGGCAACTTTCTATATATACCTGTTCGACATGCCAAGCTCTAAATCAGCCCGAGATCAGACAAGTTATGAATAAGGAGGTTTTCATCTCTTCGTGTACGTTCGTTTTGTCACACATGGCGATGCTCGCTGGTTAAGTAGTGTTTGTTAATTTCGACGAGGAATACAATTCGGTGAATATTTCAATCAATCAAACAACCAATTATTATAAATCAATCAATTAATAAAACATTTATTAAGTGAATTAACATTTTAACACTTCTAAAAGTGTTCGCTCAATTTTTTGGACAGTTTTCATTTAAACTTTTACTTCTAGGTCGTAAATCTAAACCGCTTTTTGCATAATTATTTTTATGCACGCGAGTGCATGCTTATATGCTGTCTTAAGACTGAACATCTTTATTAAGTTAATGAACAAAACACTGAATCGAATAACGCAAAGGTTGGAATCACATTACATTATTTGGTAAAAAATATATTTGCAATTTACGTCAAATAAATGACTATTTTATTATTTGCAGACTACAACATCCCTATTGTAAGGCAATTACAGAGGTTACAAAACTTGCTTCTCGACGAAACAGGTAGGTAAACCAACGTTTACTGGTCATTCACAAATTTTGATATTACCGGTATATTTATTCTTTACATTTGATTTATTGTTGTTTGCCTTAGGGACCGGTCAATATTTATTGGGTGGTTGGGACCGGTGCAATTCATATGTCTCCCTTAAAAAAATCAATGTCCTCTTAATATACCAAAAAAAGTTTCTGTCCTATATGAAATATCTACTAAATAAGTATATGTCCTATCTAATCTATGAATAAATCAAACAGACTTTAACTTCATTTTTATCAGAT